CCCCAAAACCCCAAAACCCCAAAACCCCATAAAAGTGAAATATCAGAAATAATAATGGATTATACAATTCTTAATAGGTAATTCTGCAATAATCGTAAAATTGTCATTAATTATCTTTCCTCGTTGAAAATCTTCCAAATTCAATTAGTGTATTTTTACTCATAAAAGTTCTTATATTGTCTTTATCATCTTCAACCTCTTCTTATTCATCCTCTTCATTTAAAACACCGTTTTACCCATTTATTTAATTCTTTGAAGTAGAATCTTCATTGTTATTATCATCATTCTAGCCAAGTTTTAATTTATTCATTTTTTCTTGAAGTTTAGTGATTACTCTTTTTTTACTTAGTCTCAAAAATTAATTTTCTGTAAGAGGTTCTTATCGAACATGTATTCCCACATTTTACTAATACAAAAATCTTCTTGGAGCTACATAAAATTAGCATTGAATTATGCTTACATTGCCTTTAATCATCTGGCGTATGAACAAAAATCCCTTGAGGTAAATTTCTTCTTGTTAACTTATAATTCTGCATGTCAATATTTTAAATGGATCCAGATGAGTAAAGATTCGGTGAAGAATGCTCAGATTAGACTCTTATATTTCTTCAGGATTGCTTTATTCCAGGATCTTAAAACAGATCTTCAGGGGGTATCATATCTTGTTAATTCAACATTGAAATATTTGGTTTTTAGCTTTTCGCTAGAGTTAATCTGCTATGACTTGACTCAGATCTCATACCAAAATTATTTGAAATGTTGAGATTATTGAGTTAATCTGAGGCTCTATCATCAAAGTATGTACTGCTATTGTGATCTCTCAAGGAGCTACTATCGTCTCTCTGCATAGAAGATGAAGGCTTCCCACTCATTGTTTTAGAGGATTTGAATGCAGGTTGAGACTATTTGGGCAGTACATTATTGATATGCATGAATAGATCTTTCATTGATTCTGAATAATAGGGAGGCTTGAATTTGTATTGATCCATTTTAATTACCTTTGCAAATAATTTCGAAAAGTATGCTTTAAATAATTCATCGTCAAATCTCTCTATAACTTGAATTAGATTTAAATATCATTCCCTACCGTTTGTGTAAGATTTTAATACTTTTAATTAAAGCAGATATATCACGTTGTAAAGTGCATTGTTGTACTATTTTTGCACTTGCTGCTTTGCAAAGCCATTATAAACAGACATATTAAAGAATTTAATTCTAATTTCTTACTCTTTTTTTAAACTATCTCTATTTTAATTAAACTACCGGTTTAAAACGCTATAAGATAACACTTTAAAACACTTTGCTGCTCTTAAAAGGGAAGCGAATAAAACTTTTCAAATTAGTTTTAAGGATGGGTATTCATAAGCTAATGACTCTCATTTAAGAGAAGGCGCCAAAGGCTGTTAAAACTATAACTCTTGACTATTTGACTGGAAAAGTTATTGCTTGTGATGCTTCTATGGCTATCTATCAATTTTTGATAGCTACTCAAACTATGAAGTAAGGAATGGGAATTGGTGAACTGAGAGATGACAAGGGCAATCTTACTGGCCACTTAGTTGGAATGTTTCATAGAACAATCTAGTTCTTAGAAAATGGAATTAAGCCCATTTGGGTATTTGATGGAAAACCTCCTGATTTGAAATCAAAGGTGCTGGAAACAAGGAAAGAATAAAAAGAAAAAGCTACTGAAGAAAAGAAAGCTTTTCTAGAAACTGGAGATCTTGAAGGTGCAAAAAGAATGGCAGGAAGATCTGTTAAGGTCACTTGGGATATGATGAGAGATGCGAAGAAATTACTTAGATTAATGGGATGTCCGGTAGTAGAAGCACCTGGAGAAGCTGAAGCATAATGCGCAGTTATTGTGAAAAATGGCTAGGCCTTCGCAACTGCTTCAGAGGATATGGATGCTTTGACCTTTGGTACCAAGGTCTTGCTAAGAGGTTTCAATAGCAAAAAGGAACCAATTATCCAGATAGAATTGGATGAAGTCTTAGAGGGATTCAATATGAATTAGGACTAATTTATTGACCTCTGCATTTTATGCGGATGTGATTATACTACAAATATTACAGGTGTGGGTCCTGTTAAGGCCTATAAGTATATTTCAGAATAAGGTGGTGTTATTGAAAATGTATTGAAGAAAATTGAAAAGGAAAATAATTATCCTTGGAAAAAGAAAAAATATCACATTCCCGAAAACTTTTACTATAAGGAAGCTCGAGAACTGTTTAAAGTACCGGCTGCTGAAAGAGATAAAAAGACGATAGATGGAATGCTAAAGTGGACGAAACCAGATGAGGAAGGGCTAAAAGAATTTCTGATCTAATAAAAGGGTTTTAGTGAGATCAAAGTAGATAGTGGTCTTAAGAAGCTTAGAGGATGTCAAGGGAAAACTAACTAAGCAAGATTGGATTGCTTTTTTAACTAAGGTTAGAAAAAGACTTCAAACAGTTTTAAGAAGGATGAAAAAAATAAAGGAAGTGCTTGCAAGGAGAATACCAATTCCCATAATAATACTTATTCAAAGTGGTACAATGATCCATTTAGTATTCCAGGAAAGTAAAAGCCAGGATCTAATCCTTTAGCTAAAAAGTAGAGCTGATTTATCAGATATTTTGGGAATCGGCTTGAGATATCATGATATATAACTTTTATTAATTAATTTTGATTAAGATCAAAGCATTTTAGTAAATAATATTTAAATTTGAATTTAAACTTACTACTATAAAATGAAATCAAATATTAGTCGTGATAGAATCCCTTTGCCTAAAGGTTAGAATTAATCTAGTTCTTAAATAAGATTGAAAACCAACATGAATCAGTCTTAAGCAAGCACTATATCCATGAAGTTGATTGGAAAAATCACAGCTAAAAAAGAAAATCTTCAGCTTAATAATTATACCATAAATGAGTTTAGAGATAATTAGCTCTCTAGTACAAATTCAACATTGCAAAATCAACTTAAAGAAATCAAAGATAATGATTAAAATAAGGCGAATCAAGTTAGTTCTCCTCCACGATAACTTTGCACTGTAGAAGAAGGTATATTAAAGCATATTCAACAGAAAATTCAAGTAATGGAAGATCAGATAAGCAAAATTGAGTATTCTCAAGATACAATGAGACCTGTTCTCAGATAAATACAAACTCCTCAGGGATAAATTGCCTTATTAAATTAATTTCAAAAGCAGTAACTCTAGATGCTAAATCCTAAGGAATAAGAAAAATAACAATAGATTGCGGAATAGCAGTATGAAATTTTAAAAAATCTAAAGAGTTAATCGCAAGATCAACTAGACTAGCATGAAGAGCTGTTTAAAAAAAGTGTCGATGGACTTAAAATTAAGAAAATGGAATTGGATTTTAATTTAGAATAGTCTTCAAAGTATTTGGCGAGTTAATTAAGGGAGAGCGAATTCAAAATTCTAGATGATAAGGCTCAACTTTAGAATGATATATAGAGAAAATAGAACGACATAAAAGATGAATTATTATAGAAAATTGAATAAATGAGACAGAACTAACAGAGTAACTCAGCTGGCCAAAGTTAAAGAATGCAATCTTTGTACGAGAGATTAGATGATGTCTAGAAAATATACAGTCAAAGATTAAATAATTTGGAGTAAAGAGTAAAACCAATTAGTGAGGTCATTAGCCAAGCTAAGAAAAATGATAGCAACCAATTGCAACTATAACTTAGTAAACTTCTAGAGGAGTAAATGAGAAATACAGTGCTGAGTATCAAAGGTACTTTTGAAGAAAAGTTTTAAAGTATTCAAGATTAATAAAAGTAAGAAACTGATTGCCTGAAAGAGGACCTCAGCAAACTAAACATTAAAATAGCTTAATAGAGCATTAATATGACTGCAGATAACAGAATATCAGAGTTGACTTTTAAAAAAGTAAAGAATTAAACTAAAAGTGTTGCCAATCTGAGTCCTAACAGTGAGTATAACAAAAATAAAACGATTGATCAAATTCAAAGTTAATCTAAATCTGTCACTCGCAAATAAAATCAGATCCAATCTCAAACCCAAAACTAATTAAGAGAGGATATAAAAAAATCTTTTGAGGGTCTTGAATCATTTTCATTGAAAACTTCAGAGGATATAAACGAAGAGCTAGAAAATTTAAATGGATGTATTGAATCAAATTCTAATGCCTTGCAGAAGTCTCTCTATGATTTACAAGACTTAAAAGATTCCTAGAAGGGCAAGAAGGACATTGAAGATTTTGCAAATAGAATTATATCTTAATTCTCTCAGTTTAGTGATTACATCAGAAATGAAGTTAGCAAAATAAGAAAACTAATTCTTCACAGATAACAATCAGCTGATCAGGAATTGAAAAAGCAAGATAGTCTTGTTGATTAGTTGCACAAAGTGGTAATGAGCGAAAGTCAAATTTCTGGGCAAAGTGTCGTTGTGAAATTAGACTAAATTAAGGAACATTAAGATGCATTAAAAAAGCATCTTGCAAATACATAAGGCTATTTGACAAGAGAAGCAAATCAAGTTGATTTAAAACTCATGCAATTACAAGATTTTATAGTCAAGTAAGCTTTTTAATTATAATGTTTTTTTTAGAGAAATAGAGCCATACATTCCTCAAGCTGATGACTCTGAAAATCAAATTGATCAATATGGAGCTAATTAAAAGCCATTTAGTGGAATTAATAAGCAAAATATTAGTGCCATATAAGAAGAAGGAGCAGAATACTTGCACACTGAAGATTAATTAGATGATTCAATAGGTAATTGATAAATAAGAGCACTAAAATGAGGCAATGAATTAAACTTGAAAAGCCAAGTAGTTAATACCAAAAATCTATATATTCTTAATTTGCTAAATATTAAGCATTAGCATTTCAAGTGAACGTTTAAATATGTAGAATCTCGGGGTTTTGGGGTTTTGGGGTTTTGGGGTTTTGGGG